TCGCGGCAGAGGGACTGCGTGGGGCTGAACAGCGTTTTCCAGAGCCGGAAAGGGGAGAGGGCAGCGTCCTCCCAGCCGCAGAGGGCGGACACGGGCGGCGGGGACTCCTTTGTCCAGCGGAGGGATTTTGGCCGTGCGACGAGGCTTGTGCCCGCTTCGGCAGCTCCCTCGCTTCCTAGGTGGACCTCGGTCCCCGCGGGCCGTGGGCCGGGACTCTGACCCCACCTGGGTCGCCGAGCGGCGTGGTTGTGCTCCTGTGGGACGGGTAAGGGGGGAGGGTTCTTACTGCCGTGGGCTCCGGGGAGGTCGGCGGGCTGGGCCCGGTCTGAGGGGAATTTTCAGTCAGAGTCCCATGCGCACCCAGCTCACCCTGCCCTGGTGCTGTCCTGAAGTCAAGCGCGTCCTGGAACCGTTCCTGTTCTTTCCCGCTACCCTGTTTGTTGAGCACCTACTATGTCAGGGATTAGGTAGCCTGTTAGAAAACAGTGTAGTAAGTTATTTCTCAGAACGTTTTAGAAGTCAACGTGCACGTTCTAGCACTGAGAGGCTTGGAGTACTGTGTACACAGCCGGTGTTAGGTGAGGGAGGGTCAGGGAGAATCCATGGGGCACGGCGAAGTAGGTGCCAGGAGTTTTATCAAAGTCATTACACAGCTTTGCTTTCTCTCAAAAATATTTATTGAGCACTTATTTGTGCACGACATGGTAGGTGAGCAAACCCAGGGTTCCTTGCCGTTCTTTTCAGTCTGGTGGCAGAAGTAGTCATTAAACAAATCACGAAGTAATGTGCACAGGTAACCACAACGGGTACTACTAACAAGAGAAACGGATTTGGACTAATGAGGAGATCAGGGAAGGTTTCTTTGAAGAAGCATTGTCAGGGATCCAAAGGTAAATATAAGAGCTAATTAGGGAAAGCCTAGTCCTCACAAAAATTCTATAAACCAGATGTGATTAGAGTTGAAGATATTGAGACCTCAGTAAGGTCAGGTAGCTTCCCTAGGTTACTGCAAGTTAAGTGGTAACCCGGAATTTAGATTCAGGTAAGAATAGAGTCTTCTATATATTCCTTGGGCCATTTGGTTTAGGAGAGGTGAAGTATTACAGTACAACGATTTTAGGAAATAGTAGTCACAAACTTGAAAGCATGCAGAACTCAGGCAGGTGTCTAAGTTGAATAAAGTAAAGGCAGAAAGTAGGGCATGGTGGAGACTAGTAAAACTGGAAGTTACATTCCAGTGGATGAAGGGAGCAGCCATTAGTTCCAGCCTCTTGTTTCATGCAGGAATATGGATAGAGTTGTGCCAGGTCTTTTGACTGTTAAAAGTTAACAAATAGTCTTCCTTTTTTTTGCGGGGGGTTATCACATTTAAATATTTGGGAAATACATTTACCTGTCTTCCCCACTAAAATGTTAGCTTAATAGGATTTAAAAAAAACACTGTGTCCAGAATTTAGAACAGTGCCTCTCATGTAGCAGGCAGTCAGCCAACCTCATCTCTCTGTGGAGCCTGAACCTTTCCACCCAGGTGTGACAGGTTTCAAAGCATTTTTTTTTACATTTATTTTCTTATTTTTTTCCACCAGCCTCTCTACTGGCTTCTTACTTGCTTCTTAGATGATTGCTGCGATAAAAGACACGAGACATTATCCCAGGGAACTATTTGGGTGTATCTTCCCTTTGTACCTTCTCACCCACTTCATATGTTCCTCTTCTCAGTTTTTGGCATCATATCTTGGTTCCATTTATGTATCTATCCTGTTTTATATTTAAGCAGTGTTTTCTTGTTTTGGTTCTGATCTAGAACTTTAGAGAATTGACATTGGACCCATCACCAAAACCAGGTGTTCTGCCCTTAAACTGAGCCCCAGCCTCTGCAACTGTAGGCTGCTCGCTGTTGCTTCGTGTCAGGGGAAATGCTTAAGAAGGCTTCCTTTTTGTAAGAAACGAATCACCTGGGATTAATCCAGAAGAAAGGGCTCCTTCCTAGACATTGGAACTTTTTACTCTATCACATGTACTTAAGCAAGACAAAATCTCAAGTCTCTGTGGAAAAGTTCCATCCTAACATTAAAGCTTCTCTTGGAGTAAAGGGCACGCAAGCTTGTTCTTCATTATCACCTTGGTGATAATGACATAGCAGGTGTTAGGTGAGGCAGGGTCAGGGAGAATCCATGGGACACATAGTAGGTGCCAGAAGTAGTATCAGTCATTGCACCATTTACTTTTTTCTCAGAAAAATTATTGAACACTTATTTGTGCATGATGTGGTGGTAGGTGATGAGCAAACCCAGGATTCCTTGCCATTCTTTCCAGCCTGATGGCAGAAGTAGTCATTAACCAAATAAAATGGGAAGTAATGTGCAGAGATAACTATGACAGGTACTACCAATAAGAAAAACAGGGATCCTCCTTGGTGGAAGATCATAAGAGTTTCAGGAACTGTCATATTTGGTGGCCTCTTAGTAACATACTTTTATGTATAGTTTTATTTATTTACTTTTGGTACTGGGAATCAAACTCAGGACCTTGTGCTTGCAAGGCAGGTGCTGTGCCACTGTGCTAAATCACTTGTCCTCTATAGTTTTAATGGGAAATTTCAAACATTAAGAAATGGAATTAAGTGGGGCAGGGGATTTAGCTCAGTGGTTCCGCCCCCTGCCTTGCAAGCACAAGGACCCAAGTTCGATCCCTAGTACCAAAAAAAAAACAAAAAACAAAACCAGAATTAAGGGCCAGGGATTTAGCTCAGTGGTTCCGCCACCTGCTTTGCAAGTGTAAAGTCCTGAGTTTGATCCTTGGCACCCCGAAAAGGAATTAACTCCTGTTCCTGACTTCCAGCTTTAACAGTTAGCAACTCATGGCCAGTCTTGTCTTCCCTATAACTCTACCCGCACCCTTGGCCACAGTTTTATTTGGAGCAAATCTCAAGCATCAGATTTAACTACCAGAATGTATTAAACAGTAGTTCAGCATCATCATAAACCTTCCTTGACTACAACAACAATTCTTTAATACTTAAAAAAAAACCAGCTTATTTGATTGATGGTCTGCAAAGGGAAAAAAAGGGTCATAGATGCAGGGCAGGTAAAAAGAACATATGTCCTTCATGCTTACTAATTAGGTGTTTACATTTAGTTTAGCATGCAAGTTTCTGCCTTGGGAGTAGATTGTTGGAAAAGTATTCCATACAGATCAATAAATAAAGCAGGTCAAGACATTATCCTGTGAGTTAATTCAAACCAAGAAGCACTATCTTACTATGATCCCAAAAGAGCATCCACGCCAGTGTTTCTTTGGTAAAATATCCATCATCACAGCTGTCATTTTAGAAGTAGCCCTAGAGCGCCTTTTCCTTTGACGTCCCTCTGTCCATGGTGCTGATCTCTTTGGCAGCCAAATAGCTAACCTGGTTTTGGAATTTAGTGTAGGTTTACCATAAAGATGAACGTAACTATGTATTAAATAGTTGTAAGAAGCATTATCTATACCTTTCTAACTTAAAACCCCCCAAAAATCCAAATGGGAAAATTGTCTACTAATATCAGTTGTCTCTCAATTCTTTTATGTGCTGAAAGTCCAATTAATTTAAGAATTGAAAAATAGAAGTGCAAAGGTTGTGTATATGTTAGACAGTTTCAATATTTTAAATATTTCTTGGCCAAGGTATAATTAATTGCAATGATTTTTCATTTCTCACATTAAGAATCTTTGGCTCACTAATAATGGTCAGATTGCTGTCAGAATAAACGATAAAATATCCCAGTTCCTTTGACCCTATGGAGTGATACAATAATGAAAAAGACTCAGCGTGCCTTCACTGGGTGTGCGTGTATGTGTGTGTGTGTTGCTAAGGATCAAACCTAGGACTTTGTGCATAGTAGGCCAGCAGTGCACTGCTAAGTTACACCCTTCACTTCAAAGTTTAGTAATATGAATATTTAGTACTATACTCAACTTTTTGTTGCCTACTTCTTTATAATGCATTATGCTAGGTACCAATGGTTTAAATAGATATATAAGACTTCTTAAATATTAAGTGTTAGCAGTAAAATGGAGAAAATTAGCCAGCATTGTCATTGTCATACATTAGAATAAATATGGTAGAGGTACGCATGAAGATCTGTGACAGCACCTCTAGCTATCAGAAATAGTTCTTCAGAATCTTGAAGGATGCTTAGCAGGAAGGGGAAAGAGAAAGATGTTCCAAAAACATGATGTAAGTGATATTTTTGTGTAACAGTCTGAGGTTGAGTGTGTTGAGAACTTAGTATGAGTGAAGAAGGTGGTGGAAGATGAAGTTGTACACACAGATTAGAGAAAATTTGGGCATTCTGCTAGGGGTTTGGACTTACAATGAAGGCAATGGAAAGTATTGTTCATTTGTTTGGTACTGGGGATCAAACTTGGGGCCTTGCACTTGCAAGGAAGGCGGTGGTATCACTGAGCTAAATCTTTGGCCTTTCTCTAGTGTGAGAAACTAAAAGTGTAAATAAGGATCAGAATGTATAATTAATAACGTGAAATAGGAAGAAAAGGTCTAAAGGGGTAGGGGAAATGAAGGTAGGGGAAAGGAAATAAGGGAAAGGAAAAATATGAGAAAAGGAAAAAATGGAAACAAAGTCTTTGTAGATAGGGAGGGGTGGAGGGGTTGAAGGGAAGGCAGGGAAATGGGGAAAAATTATAACCAAGATACACTGTGTAAAGGTGCAAGATCTCAGTCATGGCTGTAACTGTATTGTGTACCTAAAATGTACCAGTAAACAACGAAAAAAAAAGTATTGTTCATTGCCATAGGAAGACAAGGCTAATCTCTGTCTTTGGGAAAAAAGTTCTTCCTGTATAGACTCCTGGGGTAGAATCACTATAGAAATAGTATGCTAAGAGAGTCCTTGAAATACATGGAGGTTTTGGTAAGATAATTGTTAGGGCCTATTAATTTTTTTCATCTACCCATTGCATTCATCTAAAGCTAATTATATTTCTGGTAGTGTACTGAGTATTGAAGACACAGTAATAAGACCTAATATAAGGTACTTATATTCTAGTGGACATTGGGGAAAAAGGCACATAGTATGAAAGCAAATACACAAGAAAATTTCAAGTTGTAAATGCAAAGATGAAATCTGATAAGGTGACGGGACATATTGTAAATGGACAGTAATTACTTTAGAAAGTTTTATCAGGAAAGCTTTCTAAGGTTTGGTATTTGAGCTGGAATCTGAGGATAAGGAGCCATATATGTGGAGAGTTTGTGGAAGAACATTCCTAGAAAGGAAAAAAGTGTAATAAAGGCCTCAATGTAGAAAACTGAAAACTGTCCTGCAGTGTGAAAGAGACCACCGCAGCTGGAACATAATAAGAGGAAAGATGGGACTACAGTAAATTTCATGGTCAGGTAGTGGCTGGACCATGTGGAAATGGGCCTCGGGTAGGGGCTTGTAATTGATTCTCAAGTTGGGCACACAAAGATTTTAAGCTAGAAAGTAAAATAATCTGTTTTGTACTTTAACAGAAATACTTTGGATAATATTGAGATTGGATTTGAGGGATACAAGAGTAAAGGAAGAGTAACTTCTTATAGGCCTATTAATTTAGTTCTGGCAAAAGATGATGATGGCTTACACATGGCTGTGCAATAGAGGTAGAGATAAGTGAATGTTTTCTGCATGTTTTAGATGTAGAATTGTCAGGACTTATACCAGTTTTTTTTTTTTGTTTTTTGAGACAGGGTCTCACTGTATTTGAGACTGACCTGGAACTCACTCTGTAGCCTAGGCTGGTCTTGAACTCAAAGCAATCCTCCTGCCTCAGCCTCCCAAGTGCTGGGATTACAGGCATGTGCCACCACACCTGGCTATATACCAGTTTGTTGATGGAGTATAAGAGAAATGGAGAAATTGAGGTTCAAGTCTGTGACCCACCCCCTCTTAACTGTTGGCCAATGACTGAAATGTGTAGGAAGGATAGTCAACTTCTTTTGAATTGACCAAACTTCTCTTTCTCTTTTTGATGAACACATGGGTTTATTTGAGAGGCTAAGTATCAATCCTGTGATTCAGATCTTTATATTGGAACTGTAGTTTCCCTCTTATTAACACTGTCAGGTAGGGCCAGGTAGCCCTTCACATTGTCTGGTTTGTTTGTGGGTCAGGGATACAGCTATGTCTTTGTATACATGGCTGATTGTGTGAGTTATCTCTGGAGTTTGGGTAAGCCTTAGAGAGTAGGTACTTTACCTAAACTAGTGTTCTGAGAATGGACTGGAGGTTTTTTTTCCAAAGTGCGATGTGATTGCCAGTTTTCTGTGGTTGCAGAGAGCATAAAGTTACTACTGGAGCTGCTATCTACTAGCCTGCCATAAGGACAGTCTGCTTGAGAAGGGGTCCATTCTCCAGAAGAGAACAGGGTGAAAAACAGAGAAGGCACTAGACAATTATGAAATGATTTGAGCCTTGCACATCCAAGTCAGAACTGTGCTCTCTTTTTTTAGACAGTTAAGTTCCCTTACCGTAAGCCACTTTGAATTTAATTTCTGCTACTTGCAACCCAAAGAATTCTGTATAATATACTGCATAAGCATTTGAATATTATCTCTGTTGACTTAGAAACTATCATCTTATGTTTTACAGATGAGGAGATGAAGGCACACGTAATTTTCATGAACTTACTGGGTTGTCCATGAAAAGAGCTAGGATTGGGCATGAGGTTCATCTGAAATCTAAAGAAGAAGGTACTTAACAAAATACTGTAAAAATTATTTTGAGGTTTGGTTTCTCCAAGGAGCACATTGCCTATGATTTAAAGTCTCATCTAGAGGCACTATGTCTCAGTTGCTTGGTTCCAGAATTGATTTAGTAACTTGTTATTTATAGTTTGAACTTGCAGTTTATGGTTTTTTGATAATTTTGTTTTCCTGCCATTTTGCTAATGCAGCTTTCTGAGCAAATATTGCCCATAATTTAAATCTGCCACAGTAATGAAACGTACACATGTACTTCCTCAGAACAATCCACACCTCTGATCAATTGCATGTATAAAGTATAGTGTTTACAGAAAATAGGTGGCAATTAGTATTTTGGAAATTATCTGGGAAATACAACGAGCTGCCACTTCAGAGTGGAAGCATGGCAAGAACCAGCAAAGTGACAAATCCCCTTGGAGCTGGAAATGAGTGGGGCTGGGAGTGGGGGCTGCTGAGTATACAGTGGGGGTTGCCTCATGTGGTCTTAGACTTTTCACAACCTCTTCCTTTTCTTGCCAACACTCAGAAACAATATTTTGGTAGAGATATGAAATAGCTGTTTGACAGCACCTATTATAGAACAACCTTTAAAAAATACTTGGACCTTAGTCTAGGCACAGGTATACACCTGTAACACTGCGGCAGTTGTTATATTATGAATGTTTTTCTCTACTAGTTGGTAAACAGCTCCATTTTGAGCCCTCTGAATGATGCTTCATTGTTACCCTTCCCTGAAAAGTCCTTAGCTCTTCAGGATCCAGTGATCAAAATGTTGAAGCTTCAATCCTGATCCAATGCTAAGTCCAGGGGCCATTCTGATTGTTGAGTATTGGGCATATCAACCTTCGGAGCATCAGTGACCATAGCACAAAGCAGAAACATGAGGAAGGGCATCCTGGAAAGAGTCAGAAGAAGAAACAGCAACTAATTTATGTCCCTGGCTGCACATTGGCAACACCACTGGGAGCTTTTACAGAATGCATTTAGTTGGAAAACACCCGCATAGATTTGGGGTGAAGCCCAGTTGTTAGAATCTGTCCATCTGTCACCCATCCATCCATCCATAATCCATCCATATATCTATAATCTATCAATCAAAAGTTCCATGGGTGATTTTAATATGGCCCTGAGATCCACTAACTTAAATTTTCTAAGCTTCAGCTTTCCACGTAATGAGTGGCAGTGCCCATGTCATGGAATTTAATGGAATAATATACTTAAGGCTTTAATCACAGAGTATGGGACGTAACCTCATGAAAGCAGTTTTATTTTTTAAAATTACATATGTGACAAGTAAATTGATCCTAGGGATCAACATTTCAAATATATAGAAATGGAATAAAAAGCAATGAAAGGTATTCATGTTCCCTCACATGCACAGAGGTAAACCCTGCTAAGTTCCTATGTGAATCCTTCCAGAAACTTACCTTTGTCTTTATTTACAAAAATGTACATATTCACTTGTCTTTAAGATAAACATAATAATGTATGTCATGTAGTGGCTTTGTTCTTTTTGCCTAATAATAGGTCTATATATCTCAGAGCTCTCTAAACAACAGTAAATACTTTGTTACTTAACAACTGCATCTATTATATGAATAATGGATGCATCGTAACCAATTTAAGTACTGCCTATATTGATGGGCATTTTGGGAGTTTCCAGATTTTCATTTTTCAATAAAATCTGTAGTGAACACTTCGGTGTATGTATCTTTGTGCCCATGGGTGAGTTTTCCTGTAGACTATTCTTAACATTGCTATATCTGGGTCAGATGTTAAATTCTGACAGAATTTTCTCCAAATGTTTGTGCCAATTTACATTTTTAACGATGAAGGAGAATGCCTGCTTTCTACTTCTTTTATTTTCCACATTTTTTGGCAGTATTTTTGTTTTAGAGCACAAATATGAAAAAAGTAAGCAATATAGAAAGGTATAACATGAAAAATAGAATCTTCTCTCATTCTACTTCCTAGAATAATCTACTTTTAACCATTTATATTTTTAATGATTCTGGTTATTACTTTCATAACTTAATGTGTCTTTTATAGCTCATAGCTGGATAGCAGGATTAAACACCAGCTGACAGTGAATGTATGGTTTGCATTTCCCTGACGACTAACAGTATTGAGCACCTTTTCATGTGCTTATTGGAAAATGAAGTTTCAAGTGTTTTGTCATTTTAAAAATAGGAAAAAAATTTAAAATAGGGCTTGGTGACTTTTATTGGATTTATGCAAACTACTTTTTGTGTATGGAGTAAGGTACAGGCGGAGATTCTTTAATGTTTTCCCCTATGTGGATATCAGATAGTTCCAGAATTACCTGTCCAGAAGTCTTTTCTTCATTTTATTGGCTTGGCACCTTTGTTGAAAGTAGATACATTGATATCTGTACAGAATTGAATCCTTTATGTTGTTCTGTTCCACTGATCTGCTTCTATCCTTACTTTGAGTCTTTGTCATTTAATTGGAGATTACTGAGGTACTTTGTTGACTCTTTCTATATATCCCAGTTTCTTTAAGTGAGTCTTTTTGAGTAGCAGCAGGGGATAGAAGCAAACAAGGAAGCAAGCTGTCTGACAGAGAGAAAACCAACTCACAAAGCCATCAGAAGAAGCAGCCCTGCTTTTACATGTACTGTTGTTTCCTTCCACTGATTAATGGTTGTCAGGTGAAAGAGTAAGACAATGTGAATTTGATCACCATTTTCTACCTAAATTATGGCCGCAGCAGTGAAAGATAACCTAGGACTGCAACAGTCAAGAATTTCCAGAGCTCCCAGTTTCAGCCTAATGCCTTGAGTTTATACCCTAAGCCCATTGCTCAATTTCATACTGTGTGCACTGTTCAAAACCTCCAAAGCTGCTCTCTGGACCTTTTGCTAGGGAGGAACTATTGAGACTATTCACTACTCTATCTTTGCTGTGATCACTCTGCTTACTTTATTTGCTTTTCTAAGTATCAAGACCCTCTTTATTAACCTGCTATGGCTGCCATAACATATAACCTCAGACTGGCTGGCATAAACAAGAAACTTTTATCTTTTTACAGTTCTGGAGGCTAGAAGCCTAAGAGCAAGGTGTGTTGTCAGTGTAACAAGGTATTGGTATAAGGTACCAGCCTGTGATACTATTGAGAGGTGGTGGAACCTTTAGGATGTGTGGCCTAGGGGAAGGAAGGTAGGTCATTTGGGGGTGTGCCCTTGAAAGGAATACAGAGACCTTGGCTGCTCCCCCCACTGCCAGCTTTCTTGCCACCACGAGTTTAACAAGTTTTGCTTTATCAGGCTCTTCCTGCAATGATGCTTTGCTTTACCACAGGCCTAAAAACAATGGAGCCAAGTGGCTATGGGTTAAAACCTCTAAAACTGTGAGCCCAAACAATCTTTCCTACTTTTAAGATGACATTCTCAGGTATTTTGTCACAGCAGTGGAAAATCTAACACTCTCCCTCTCCCACAAATATCTGTGTCCAGATTTCCTTTTCTTAGAAGGATATCAGTTATAGTGGATTGCCTCCTTAATGATCTTATCTCTAAATATAGTCACATTCTGAGGTACTAGGGTTAGAACTTCAAAATGAGAATTTTGAGGGGGGACACAGTTTAGCCCCAAATGTCTTCTGTGTAGTCAGAAATGCCCTGACCCCATTTGATCACAGCTGAACTCTGCATGAACCCGGCTAAACTGCAGCTGTGAATTTGGGTCATCTCACCCCTGTGGTTCCAGAATATGCAGCCCTCCTCTCTCTTCTTCCCAAGTCTTTTCCTGCCCAGGCCCTTACTGAACACACAACTTCATTTTATAACTATTAACACAAACACTCACAACATCCAGACCTTTTACCAAATATTTATAAATCTGTTTTTATTTTTATCTAAAAAATTATTTATTTTTGGTACATGGGATTAAACTCAGGACCTTGCACTTGCCAGGCTGGCATGGTGCCACTGAGCTACATCCCCGACCCTAAATCTATTTTTAATATGGTTCTCTCATTTAGATTTACTTCCCAATTTGATGCGTAAGAGTTATGAGATTTTTTACCATTATATTTTCTGTTTTCTACTTATCCCACTTTTTGTTCTTTGCCCTCTTTTCTCCTTTTCATGAATACAGTTGCATTGATTGACTTTCCTTGGTTCGTTTTTTTCATATTGGGCTTTGGAAGTTACAGATCCTGTTCTACTCTTCAGTGATTCCTGTAACATTTTAACACATTAAAAAATCATTACTAAATTAGAGCAGAAATATGAAAAAACCAACAAGCAATACAGAAAGGCATAATATGAAAAATAGAATCTTCTCTCATTCCACTTCCTAGAATAATCTACTTTTGACTATTTATATTTTTAATGATTCTGGTATTACTTCCATAACTTAAGTAATTATTCTAAATTTTTACCATTTAATTTATCATATTACATAGACTATATTTACTGATGATCTATTTGGAAAGTTAAAGAATGGTTTTACTTAAAGTCTTACTCCCCAGATTTTCAGCTATTCTATTATTTGTAGTTATTTAACCAGTTACTCCTACATATTAAATATGATCTTTTTTGTTTGTTTTTTTAAGACAGGGTCTCGCTTTGTAGTATACGCTGGCCTTGAGCTCATAACAGTCCTTCTGCTTCAGCTTCCCAAATTCTGGAATTACAGGCATGTGCCACTATGCCAAGTTCTAAATATGATCTTTAAAATTTTTAATTTCTTGTTTCATTAGCTTTAGACAATATCTCTTGGTACCTTTAAACATGTGGAAATTAGTACTCCTATGTTTTTCTTCATGTTTTCTACTTCAGGTGCTCACAATGTCTACACTTGAAAGGGTTATGAGATTTACATTTCAATAGGTTTGAAACAAATTGAAAATGAATAGACAATACATATATATATATATATCATGAACATTTTTTGTATGGTCAAATAATGTAGTTTGATATGTAGAAAAAATTTGAGCTCTGTTGCTAAAGTTTTATGCATGAA